ACAGGAGGGAGTAAACTGTAATTCATTCAACAACCAGGTGGAGATTACAAAGGACGATTCTGTAAGTTACACAATATGAACATGTTTTTAATACCCATGAGCTGAGTTTGCTGCTTGTTGCATTATGTGTGAGCTAAAGCACTTACCAGGATAGGCTATGGTCAGATCAGAGTCTGGAGAGAAAAGTTGGCACAGACTTGGGAGAATTTTTCAGGAAGACAGAACAGCATGAAGAATAATGAACACGGAGCCTGCGTGGCTCAGTCGGTTAAGCATCCAACTCTTGCTTTGGGCTCAGGTCTTGATCTCAGAGTGGTGAGATCAGGCCCCACATCGGACTCGTGACTTAGCATGGAGTCTGCTTGTCCCTCTCCCTCTGTTCCTCTCCCTGCTTTTTCCCTCTCTCTCTTTCTCATAAATAAATAAAATCTTTAAAAAATAATAATGAACACTAAAAAGCAAAACTTGAAAAATAAAGGGCGGGGGGACATCTGAGTGTTACTGGTCTTTGTGTCGCAGCTCCCGGCACCACTGCTTATTAAAGGTTTTTATAAATATTAAATGCCTCTTGGGAACATGAGCCAAAAAGTAATATATAAAACTTGTCCTAGTGGCTTATTTCACATGTATTATCAGGAAAGTCAAAAGAAGCCAGTTCTAATTGACCATTACATACCATCTAGTGTGTGGTGGTCTTGTTGGCAACAGGTAAATGCCACTATGAATTGCTGGAAAGTCTAAAGCAGAGCACATTCCAAACAATGCAACTGAAATGACTTCCTAATTCAGAAATAGTTTTCTATGTTATGTAGTGGAAGTTTTGCTAAGCCAGTTTTCGTACTGTGAGCTCATTTGGGTTAGATTATGTTTGCATACTTTTGTTTTATTTGTGATCCCCACCAGGGCTTCCAAAGTGATTTTAAATAATCCATCCTTTTATATAGTTGAGAATATACTTTAGGTCATCATGGCAACATCAATTTCCTTAGCAAACAAATTTATAAAGTAAATAAGAAACAAAAATTCAGCCACCTCTGTTTTGATAGCTTTATATTCTAAATTTGTGGGGCCCCAGTTTTTCAAAATTGACTTTATTTGTGCCAACTTAAAGGCAAAAAAACTTGTTTTGATAAAGCTAGAATGTTCGTCTTTTTAAAAATTTCATTTTGAAAATCTATTTAAAAAAATAAAACACATGAACATTAGTCAAAGACATGTATGAGTATAATGTGAATAGCATGTTTCTCTTCCCTCCTTGGACCCTTGCCACTCAGGTACCCTTCCCGAGAAATATCACTGTTTATTCTCACTTTTACATTTTAAATAATCCTAAATATAATGGGATCTCATCCCGTATCTTATTGAATATAATTTGTTACTAAAGCAAGTTATGAGCAACAACGGAGGCTAATTGGAGTGACACTATGTATAATATTTTTTAATGACAAAAAAGAAAAAATAATACCATTTGGGAAAAATACCATATAAACTCATCCTATTAGGGGCCTGTGTTACCCAGTTGATCCCAGTGATCCTTTTTCTGCCGAACATTTACTTTTAATCGTTCCTGTTTTAAAATAGTTCCTTTTTTTTTTGGTCTTTCTGTTTTTATTTCATTATTTCTTTTAAGTTTTTAATTTAAATTCCAGTTAGTTAACATACAGTGCAGTATTAGTTTCAGGTGTACAATTTAGTGATTCCACACTTGGATCCAACACCCAGTGCTCGTCTCAAGTGCCCTACTGAATCCCCATCACCTGTTTCCCACATCTCCCCCTCTGGTAACTATCAGTGAGTTCTCCATAGTTAAGCGTCTGTTTCCTGGTTTGCCTCTTTTTCCCCCTATTATTGTTTGTTTTGTTTCTTAAATTCCACATATGAGTGAAATCATATGGTATTTATTTGTCTTTCTCTCACTCACTCATTTCGCTTAGTATAATACTCTCTAGCTCCATCCACATCATTGCAAATGGCAAGATTTCATTCTTTCTTATGGCTGAGTGATAATCCAATGTATATATGAACCACCTTTTCTTTATCCATTCATGAATCAGTGGACACTTGGGCTCTCTCCATAATTTCGCTATTGTAGATAATGCTGCTATAAACATCAAGGTGCATGTATCCCTTTGAATTAGTATTTTTGTATTCTTTGGGTAAATACCTCGTAGTGCAATTGCTGGATCATGGGGTGGTGAGGATGTGGATAAAGGGGAACTCTTTTACACTGTTGGTGGGAAGGCAAACCAGTGTAGCCACTCGGGAAGACAATATGGAGGTTCCTCAAAAAGTTAAAAATAGAACTACTCTAAAATAGTTCTCTGCTGAGTCCCATAAAATTTCAGCTTTTGTTTTTGGAATTCTTTGCATTTTTTAAAACAATCACAACTATGCCTAGTTCTTAAAATAAAGATCAAGTGATATTTCTCTTTCTTTCTTCCTAACGTTCCAGGAAAAGCACATTTGTTTAGTAAAAGTCAATTTGAAAATATACACTTTTATTTTTCTTCATAATACTTACCAACATATATTGTTGGTACATATATTGTACATATACATATATTGTATACTTAACATTTTTTTAAACTGAGAAAGTAAATCACATAAGGAGTTTTGTCTTTCTTTTCATTCCTGTGTCATTACTGCCTTAAAGTGTCTAGATCATAAAGGTATTCTATACATTGAGTGAACGAATGAATGAATGACAGAATGACTGAACAATAAATTTTGAATTTATTGAACAATAAATATTAAGAAACTCAAGGGAATCTTTAAAGTGTAACTTTAGGGACACCTGGGTGGCTCAGTCGGTTGGGCATCTGCTTTCAGCTTAGGTCATGATCCCAGCATCCTGGGATTGAGTCCCACATCAGGCTCCCTGCTCAGCAAGGAGCCTGCTTCTCCCTCTCCCTCTGCCTGCAGCTCCCCCTGCTTGTGCTCTCTCTCTCTCTGACAAGTAAATAAATAAAAATCTTGAAAATGTATCTTAAATAATTTGTGTTCCATTATCTTTTTGGTTATCAATTAAAGTTAGGCTCAGAGATAATTCAATTATATATTGTCTATATTTTGATTATAATTAATTTATGTTTTAGCTAACTATGCAATATAAATATGCAATATTGCAATTGAATATACAGTATGCTATATACAATATGCAACTGAAATATACACTATGCAGTAACTGTGCTATATTGTCTATATTCAGATTATAATTAATTTATATTTTCAGCTAACTATGCAATATACAAGGCAAATATGATGCTTGTAGTAAAAGATATTTTGTGATATTTCGTGAGGTTTTGAGGACAACGATCATATCCTTAAATTATTTGCTCTGTATGTGATGTGTGGTGTGTGTGTGTGTGTGTGTGTGTGTGTGTTTCAGGAGAACCAGTGGCTCCCCAAGGTGCAATTTTTCTCGTCATCAGGTTTAATCATCATATGTTGATCATAACACTTAACAGGTTCATTGTCCTCCTAGTTACCCAGACCCCAAGCCTCAGGTTTGCTTTCATACCTCTTTTGTGAACTTCTCAAATATACGAATTACTAAATTTGGTTGATTCTCTTACCAATGATAAAATTATTTAGGCATTTGGGAACTAGCGTTGTTTTCTCTAAACTCTCCATAGAATTAATCTTCCTATCTTCTATGCAGGATTGCTCTGTGTGTGTGTGTGTGTGTGTGTGTTTTTCAGGAGACATTATACATCCTCTAATGTAAAGTAGATGATTCCTCAGTATTAACTAAGCTGAATTTATACTTCACATCTGGGTCAGATAACTTTCATGAAGTGGTTTATCATAATGTTAGTTTTGTGAATAATATAGATTATTTCTGAAAACTTCTCAAGGAGTTTTTTTGATAGCCTATTTATTAATAAGGGTGGGTGGTTCTGGAAATTATTTTATTTTCCTAAATATCCTATAACAGATTTCATCCTTTTATTCAAAATCTTGCCTTTCTGTTCCTTTTTTATTTTCTAAGCAGGTTCAGTCAGAGCTGGTAATGGTAGATGTCACCGAATTCAGAGTTGAGTTTCATGGATTATGATGGAACTAGTGACTTAATGGGGCAGTCCTAAGAAAGCAAAGGTCTTCCTATTTAAGGTTCAATTCTAATCTAAGGAGGTTTTCTGTTTTGTTATTTGAAGGGAATTTTTTTTTTCTAAAATTCCCATTTGATAAAAATATGCATTCTAATGTCAGAGTAGATTCATTATTAAAAGATGAAAGTAGTGTGTCTTCTTTACCACATGTGATTCCAATTAAAGTTAAAGTCAATATATGTTTGATATATTTGCTAATGAAGGCAAGTTGTTTCTTCATGTTTAATTTAGCTCGAGGTGAATTCCTGGTTAATTCCCTACTTATGGTGGTTGATCCACAGGTTTAAAGGCCTTCATGCTGACCGCTATTGCTCTTGGTTCTTGTAGGAAGAAAGCTGGTTTAGGACTTAAGCTGCCTACTGAGTGGGATGACCTCTGGTTTCTTAAATGGTAGTATCTGTGAGGCTAAGAGAGAAAATAGTGATGTTTTCTGTTTGTGTGAACTTAAAATTTTCCATGCATAGCTCTGCAGTTACTTGTGTTTCATAAATTATTTTCTTCATATAAAATGCCATTTAAAATGCTAAAAGGTATTCCACCAGGCGCCTGGGTGGCTCAGTCGTTAAGCGTCTGCCTTAGGTCATGATCCCAGGGTCCTGGGCTGGAGCCCCACCTCCGGCTTCCTGCCCAGCGGGGAGCCTGCTTCTTCCTCTCCAGCTCCCCCTGCTTGTGTTCCTTCTCTCACTGTTTCTCTCTGTCAAATAAATAAATAAAATCTTTATAAAAAATAAAATAAAATGCTAAAGGTATTCCTTTTGAAAGTTTCTTCAATTCTGACACAAAAACTATAGATAGCTTATACTGAATTAACACATGACCTTTCTCTCCACAGATGTTTTTTGAAATTATTAATTGTGCATGATAACTCCATGTGAAATTTATTTTTAGGGGGATAGTTCCTATGTGAAAGATCGCTGGTGTGTTTTTGATGGATTTATGGTCTTCTGCCTTTGGGTTTCATTGGTGTTACAGGTAATTAAAACTTTTAATTTTCATGGGGGTATTTTCCAAAATGTGCTTTGTTTTGCATTGAAACTCTGAATAAAAATAATAATCAATATATGTCAAAAGTGATGGTGTAATCATGTTATTTTAAATGTTTATGATAAAAACTAACATTTTAATCATTGTCAGTCACATCTGTGAATTGTTTCTCAATCATCAACACTATAGCAAATTATTTCTTATTAAAAAGATATAAAAATATATTTATTGAAATGAAGGACAGAAAATGGGGTAAGATTTTTATATTTGTAGAATAAAAAAATTGAGTTTAAATATTAAAATTCCAGTCTTTTATGTGACTGAGTCCTCACCAAAAAAAAGCTGACAAATATAGATACATTGGAATGAACATAAAATACCATATCGCAAATAGAAAATGCCTTACTATGAGAAATGGGGAACATATGTTTAAAAGGCTAAAGGTGGGATTTTACTGGATAATAGAATTCATTTCCATGCATTCATTTAGGCTTCAGTTTTGCATTTAATTCAACTCAAGTTAGGATAGTCTTATTAAAAAATTTAGACTAGAATAAATTCACAGTCCATCCTGCAAAGTCATTTTAATGCTAATTGATGAGCTCTCCTTATTTTTACAAAGCTCACCTCTCCAACAATCTGATTTCATCCTGCATATTCATGCGTTCTTTTCCATTTAATAGCTATTATATGACTGACAAACGTTTTCTAATTATCATTTGCCTCTGTTAGTAAATGGTACAATTCCTTTTTTATTTTTTCATAATAATCTTAACCCTTTCTCCATTACTTTATGTTCTAGCTATTTAAAAAAGTTCCACCAAAGGACATTATTCGTAAGGAAGGCTCAGCATACTTATTCTGTATTCTGAGTTGGCACTTGTTTTTGTAATAAAAACTGGGCTTTGATGAATTATATGGGAAATGAGTAAGAGCATTGGATTTCTATTAGTTTATGTATTCATTTCTCTGAAGATAACTATAGCTTCAAAATAGACCATTTCAGTGGAAAATAATGCAGGGCGAAGTTCGGAGTACAGGGTGAATTCTTGAGGCCATCTGTGTTTGTCATAAGTACAGGCAAAGCTAAGGGAAGCGCTGAGCTTGTTTCTTCTTACCTCTTAATTCACAGGTATTTGAAATTGCTGATATAGTTGACCAGATGTCACCTTGGGGCATGTTGCGGATCCCGCGGCCACTAATTATGATTCGGGCATTCCGGATTTATTTCCGATTTGAGCTACCAAGGACCAGAATTACAAACATTTTAAAGTAAGTACTGCTTTTATGTAAGTTGAGGAGAAAAGCTGATGACATTTTTGTAAGTTTTGCCTACCTTTTTTCCCCTCTAGGCGATCAGGAGAACAAATATGGAGCGTTTCAATTTTCCTACTTTTCTTTCTGCTTCTTTATGGAATTTTAGGAGTTCAGATGTTTGGAACATTTACCTATCACTGTGTGGTAAATGACACGAAACCAGGGTAAGTTTATCTACTAACTGCATTTTAATCTAGGTGATAAACAAGAAAGTTTCTGCAATTCTTATGAGTAAACTCTATGTCTAAGTTGAGCAAAAAAAGTCTTTATGTACTTTGTTCTATATTCTCTGTTTCCTCAAAGTTTTCTTGTCTGATTTTTAAAGACAAGTATTCAAGACAAGCCAGACTGAAAAATGTTTACCCTGTGGGAAAGTAGGCTAAGCAAATTCAAAGTGTGCATTTGGAGATTTTCCTCAGTGTGACAGAATGAGGGGTGTGCTACCATAATACCATCTGAGTATTTTCATTTCTTATTTAAATAAGATGGAAATGAGAAATGGTGTAACTACTTGGAAAAACAGTTAGGCAGTTTCTTAGAAAGTTAAACAGACAACTACCGTATATCCCATTCATTCCATTCCAGATATCTAACCAGGGGAAATGAAAACATATGTCCGTAAAATAGACTTATACATAGTGATTGTATTTGTGATAGCCCAAACTGCTAACAACCCAAATTTCCACCAACAGGTAAATTAATAAACAAATTGTGATACATCCATATAATGAATACTGTTTAGCAATTAAAAAAAAAGTATGAGAAATTGATAAATACAACATCTTGGATGAATCTCAAAATAATTATGCTGAGCAAAATGAAGCCAGATGAAAAAGATTACATATTCTGTGATTCCATGCATACAAAATTCTAGAAAATGCAAGCTTATCTGTGACAACAAAAAGGAAATCAGTGACTGCCTGGGAGTAAGTTTAGGGATAAGAATAAGGAGTTACCAGGGGGCATTAGGAAACCTTTGGGGTTGGGGCGCCTGGGTGGCTCAGTCGTTAAGCATCTGCCTTCGGCTCAGGTCATGATCCCAGGGATTGAGTCCCGCGTGGGGCTCCCTGCTCAGCGGGAAGTCTGCTTCTCCCTCTCACTCTGCTCCTCTCCCCGCTTGTTCTCTCTCTCCCCCTCTCTCTCTCAAATAAATAAAATCTTAAAAAATAAAAAAAAGGAAACCTTTAGGGTTGATTGGTATGTTCATTATCTTGATTGTGGTTCTGTGCACATGTGAAAATTTATCAAGCTGTACAATTTAATATGTGCAATTTTTTGTATGTCAGGTATATCTTATGAAAACAGTTTAGAAATGTTCTGGTGTAAAGCGGAAATCTAAGTTTCTTCATATGGTTAGACAGTTGGTCCAGCACGATTTATTGTGTGCTGGGCTCAGTGAATTTAATGCTACTTTTCTCATTTACCAATTCCCAGTCTGTATTTGGGTTTGTACCTATGGTCTCTGTTGTGCTTGATTGATCTATTGGACTATCTCTTCACCCATATTACACTCTGGAATTTGTCTAGATTATAACATGGCTGTATGTATGGGGTCACTTTCTAGCTTCCTGCCTTATGTATACTCTGGACCCTGTTTTCTGCCTCTTGTGGGCATTAACACCCAAGCTCTTAGCTACTGGACACTTAGCCCCCATCCATACCACGATTTTGTCAATTCATGGACTTCCCTCTATTTTTAGTTCCCTCTTACCTTTTGATCTTTTGGGACGTATTTTTTCTTTCTTGTAAGCCCAGATATGCATTTTTAAATGTTACCATTTATCCAGTAGATCTAGCTGTTTGTAATGGAAAGAGTTGAATTTAATATAGCCCAGTTTGCCAGACCTAGCCCTCTGGCACTCCTAGTTAATTCCCCCCCACACCCCCATTTTTCTCATTACACTGTGAAGTCCTTGAGGACACAAAGGACAAGGGTGGAGAAGACTCCTTTTAGGGCCAGTACCTAGTATTCTAGCATAGAGTAAGTACTTAGTAACTATCTGTTGAAGGCATGGTGCACAATACATTATATTTAGACAGAGAATAATAACATTGTGGCAAATTGATACAGAAGAGGAAATTAAAAAAAAAAAAACAAAGGGAGAAAAACAAGCTGTCAAATGGAACAAGGGAGAAAGGGTTAAAAAATAAGAAAGCCCTGCTATGAGTGGAAAGAAGTGAGGTAGCACACACTCAGGGTAGGGACGTTGGAGGAAGAGGTGAGTAAGGGGGTAGCCTGTGTGGGTGCGGGAAGAGACACGTGTGGAAGAAAACCTGTAGGTAGTTTTTTTTTTTTTTTTTTAAGTGTATGTAGGCTGTAAAATCTGTCTGGATTGTTCCATGAATGAATATGGAGGTGGTAAAAAGATATGGTGTGGGTGGGAAACAATAGAAGAGAGGCAAAGAACAGAGGAAGCTTCCGCATAAGAAAGCTGCTGTGTTCTAATAGCTGCGAGCACAGGAAGCTGATTTAAAGTTTCCATTTTATTAAAAATCAAGTCGGGATGTGTGAGAATTGTAAAGCTTGTTAGAATTGTAAAACTAGCTAGATGATCAGGCATCCTGCTGGCAAACTTAACTTTGACACATAAAGTACAATGCAAACAGGGAAGAGGTAGAGGAGCGCCTCTGACCTCAGGGCCCTTGCATCACTTCAGAAATTGCTCTTTGCCATCTCCTCACCATACCCAGTACTAGGGCATGAATGGCTTTGAAAAAAATACTGAAAGCCTTTTGTATTCTGAATATTAGCTCCAGCTCATTACTTTATCCTAAAAATGGAGTTCTCTATGAAGAATTACATACGTTTTGGCAGAATTTTCAGTTACTCTAGACATAGCAGTTATGGAGGAATGTCTGCATTTTCTCTTTCCCATTTTTATAAAATCTGCCCATTAGCTTTATGAACATGCACATTTATTTTGCCTTCCTTTTCTGTGACAATTACTCTTGGAGAAGAAAATAGGTAGGTAGCTGCAGAGCAATACTGTTGCTCATAATAACAATTTTCATAAGTTTGATGATTCCTTTCAAAGACCAATGCTTTATACCATTTTTCTTTTAATTTTCAGTTCAGTATTAACTGAATTTTAACATCTTACCCAGAAGCAGGAAAATTGTTGATGCTGTTTTACCATTAGTTCCAGCCAGACCTTAATGTATTTTTAGAGACTTAAAAACCGCCTGAAGTCAAAATAAAATGCGTAAAAATCCCAATTAAAAAAAAAACAACTCCAACCTTTTTGTTTCCTTTGGTTGCTTATGAGCTGGGAGTTTCTCATAAATATCCCTGAGTCGGAGATTAAGCTACAGTACGGTGGCTGTGTTTCCAGTGATCGGTGTTGCCAGTTGCTGTCATGACCTCGTTTCTCTTAATTGTTGTCCTTTACAATCGTCCGATTTCTGCTTAATTGATTTGCATGCACTATAGCCTAATAATGGGAGAGCTTGCAGGCAGAGCTGTGTCTGCTCAGGAACCTGTATATCCCACGTTTCAAGGCTGACCTCTGGAATTGATTGTGTATAATCTGTGAGGCAAACAGGATAAATAAGGAAGCAACTCAAAACACACAGTTTTGCTTGTAGATGGAGCTGATTTCTTTTAAAGCAGAGAAAAGGGGGTCTTCCCTTTGTCCTCCATAGCATTACTTGTAAAGCTTTAGATTCTTCTCTGATAATGAAGGGAGACCCAAGGCAATTATGGGACGAGGAATGCTATTTGACTAAGCAAAGCAGTTCATATCCTAAAGAAATTTTAGAAGAGCAGTGGCCTCTGGCAGAAACAGGTGGTGCAAAATGCCAAATCTACTGGAAGCTACAAGATGAACGTGTGAAAATGACTGGTAGGTGAAATAGAAGCGATGAAGGCTTATCTGCCACCTTATTACCATTCCCAAGAAAGGAACGAAATTTAGTCCTAGCTTAGTATCAGATAATGAAATCTTCCCAAGAGTGAGATAATTAGAAAAACTCTAAAGTAAGCAAATGTAAATATTAAGTATATAAAAGTTTTCTCTAAGGAGAACAGGGTTCCATCAGGAGTTCAAGTAAATGCTTATAATGGCTGAGCCATTAGGTTTGAGACGTGGAGGTGGGGGGGCACACGTCACAGATGCTCAGGACAATCCTCGTAGGTCCTTTCTGTGGCAGAGTAATTACTAACAGCTTTCTTTTCCATCTCAGGGGAGTTCCAGGATGGTCACCCCACCCGGGGCAGCTTGTAGGACTCGGTGGTGTTTTATAAAATATCACTAACACTTAGCCTAGAGACAACATAGAGTTGGATTTGGGTTATAGCTTTCTCTTGCTGGTCCCAAATAATATTTAAGTTTATCCTTTAGGGTCCTTGGAAAATAAATGAATTATTGGCTTATACATCCTGTTCACAAAATAATGAAGTTTTTTTTTTTTAATGGGAAGGTCAGAAGAATTAAAAATAGAAATGCAGTGGAACTTAAAATATTAATTTCTAATTTCTATGGACTTTATCAAGAGGGAATTTTGTAGATTATGTAGAATCATAACTGCCTCAAATTCATGCAAAGGTCTTTGAATTCTTCTTGATTTATATTTAAACTTCTTTTGAAGGATGAAGACAGACTGCTACATTTAACTTACTGGATTCCTGCAGGGATGTCTGCTGGGTGGGAGATAGAAGAACAAATTTGGATAAATGCATATTGGAAAGCTCCTCTTTAAAATATTTAAATAAGAAATGAAAATACTCTGATGGGTGCATATAGATTTCTAACTAAATTAATAGCAACATTTGTGGAGCACCTATTATATTTCATATATTTTGCTTCTATACCTAATTTTTAGAGCAACTTGAAAGCAGTTATTTCCCCCATTTTGCAGATGAAGACACAGTCCCAAAGAAATTAAATAATATCTTCATCTGGTAAGTGAGAGCACCAGGATTTGAACTCAGGTCTGACTTCCCAGCCCATGCTTGATCTGTCATTTGAGCAACTTCTACCATATTATAAGCCCACATTTGTAAACCTATATGCACATTAGATCCACGTCCATATGCATAAGCTCTTTATATGGCATAGAGAAAATGAAAGTCCATATGACATCCAGTTTCTTTCCATCCCAGTGTAGATGTTATGTTCCAGGGGATTCTGCCCCATCCAAATCTATAAAATAGTGGCATGCAATA